AGTTGCAATATACATACTAGGCATCATACTTTGAAATAAGAGAATTACCCATATCATTCTGCCCCTAATAAAATGTATCCCTCCATCACAGGTGATAATTCATTGATCCATCATTTCTAAAAGAATTCTGATACTCATGCTCTTAAAATTGTAGTAATTTACAGATATCCGAACAAACAACAAATCATACTGACTAACCAACAAATTGTGTATGATACATAATATATGTAAATCATTGTTTTACCTTCACATTTTAGTAACATAATATGTATTATTATGTTGACAAGTTATTTCCCTTACAAAAAAAGACACTATCCTGCTGAAGGTATGTGTCCTTATTTTCATTCAACAGTTCTTCAAGACACCTGAAGTATTAAGTCTATTTGATATATATTATTATCATATATAGCAAATATGATTTTAGAAAAATATTCTGATGAAGATGTAAATGCAAATTGACCCCGACATTCATTCCATGTAAATAAATGCATTTATTTATGTTATTTCATTTTGCATATGACAGATTATATACTTATATACGTTACGGTCAGTGTCTATAATCAGGCAATATATATATTGACTGAAAATTTCAGTCAGTATGCATATTGTCAATGTATATGTTGACTTCAGTTTTCAGTTTCAGTTACAGTTACAGGTTACATACATATTGCGTGAAAAATGAGACTGAATTTTAGATTGATTGACTCCTTAATTTATTCTCCTCATTTTAATTTGGATCTTGGATTTCGATCTAATAACTTATATAAGTAATTAAATATGTATCTACAATGAATTGATTGGTTCTTCAAACATGAAAGAGTCCTTTTTTGTTACTTATCTTTATTGACATAGCTTGCAGCCCAGTAACAGATAATGTCTGCTAAAAGTCATGCATGTGTAATCTAATACTAGTACACATGCACAAGTATACCAATATATCAAATAAAATAATAACAGTCATTGTGCAATGTAGATATCTGTTGGTGTGAAGAGAAAAAAGAATAACATTGCTATTTTGTTTATGTGGGATTTTGAGACATCAGTCTAGGCCTCATGAAACTAGAAATGACCTTTATCTGTATTGTAATCATCCGATGATTGTCAAAGGCAACTGGGTGAAGACACTGCAATGTTTATACAATGATCATGATAGAGATTGAAAATTATTATGAAAATGCTGTTTTAAGTTATAAGTTGATTAATTGTAGTTGGTATAAGTACTTTATATAGAGGGTCTTCTGTGTCTAAAAACATATAATTTTCTAATTTGTAAAATAAAAGATATACTGTCCATACACTAGCGTGACAGTTGACGATACAAGTGAATGCTACACTGGTTAACTGTCTATAGTTGGGATAGTAACATGTTCCGCTCGTATCGCGCATACCCAATGCCTCGTCAGTTTAAGGTTGGACCGTCCGGGTCAGCGCACCTAGTGGGTTAGTTATGGGCGATAACTTACAAAAGATCGCCCATTGTTAAAATAATTGAGGTCCCCTTTCTTGTGTACTGGTACAATGTTTGACGATCTCCATTGTGAGGGAAATATGCCAGCATCTAAAAATGGTGTTATAATGTTTACAATAGTCATCTATAAAATGGATTTTTGTGATCCACCCAGGCAGAATGTACGGACTGTTTTGGCGTAGTACACCTTCAACATGTTATGTGAATGTTCCATCATTCCTGGTTGGTCTATTCATGTCTTATATTCAAAAGCAAATTTTATATACTTCACTGAATCATGTATAGATGTACAAACAATCTGTATCATTTTACTACAATCCCAAGAGAAGATGTATTTTTGCAATCATTTACTTGTGGGCTTGCGTTTTGATCTGTTGTGTTTGTTGTGTGCACGGAAACTAATGTCCAAAAGAAAGGATACCAAGAGTTTGAAAGACTGTGAAAGGAACAACAGCATGTATATAATATATTTCATTAGAGTTGTGTTTTAACACATTGTGTAAAACTGTTCATTTTATCCAAACAAAAACTTAACGACTTTAAGAAACCAAAGACACATGGGGGTTTCACAATATCACGGTCACAACGAAGGTTCAACATGACTTTAAAATCTCTGAAAGCCCATTCAAAACCAACCTTATACCGATTATGTCTACCTTGTGCATTAATGCACGCCGGTAGGCCATGACTTGACCTCAAAGTTGGATGATGTTGATGGTAATCCGCTGCCAGTCCTCAAGGAGACATTATTCCAGTTCTTGACAGTTGACTGGTGCTGCTGGTCGTCTTCGGAACTGTCAGTCAAGGAAATCCTGTTTGTGTTTGATGTGGTTCATATTTGGAGAACATGCTTGGAAGGGTGAAACGTGAATGTTGGAAAGTTCTGTGTGAGCCCTGCCATATACGGTATTGCATGGTCTTGCTGGAATGCAATGCACGTGGCTGTTACTGGATGAATGGTTGCACAACGGGTCTCAAAACGTTATGGCAATATCTCTGGACATTCAGGTTCCCAGAAATAATAACGAGTCTCGTATTAACATCACCGCAGATACCTCCCCAGACCATGCATCGCCTGAACATGAGGAACAAAATTTGGCGCTAAACGTTCACCTACTCATCTATATACTCGCTGTCTTCTGTACAAGTAATATGTACTCTCATCCGACAACATGACGAATCCCCATTCTTGCACTTGCCAACGCCGAACTCGTCTGGCCCAGGTCAATTTGTTAGGGTCGGTAGGGTCGACATGCTCTGGTTCTCCTATACTCTGTCTGACGACTGACCTTCAGTCCCGTAGCTGCCGTTGCCTTTGCTGTAATGAAGTGGTTTTGGAGATGAAAGGTCCGGATAAGGGGGTCTTCAAAGGGCATGGTCACATGTGGTCTCCCACTTTTACGCCTGTCTGATGTCTGTCCTGCCTGTTGAAAACGTTTCATCAATCTGGTAAATTGTCACACGGGTGCATCCAAATGTTCTTGCAATGGCGGCGTGCGTGGTCCCTTGTTGCGCCATACCAACGGCTCTCTCCCTGTGTATAGCGGTTAAACGTGGCATAATTGCTTGATCGTTTTGGCAAAATGCACACAAACATTTTCACAAACATTGTGAATTTGTCGCTGCTTTTTGTCACCGTTTACATTTGGTTGTATCCGTGCGACATATTTAAATCTCAATTTCCATTGAGGTTTTAAGTTATCAAAATAGTGGAAAACATTTTAGTTGGTATACTTTCTAATGGATAGTAGTGTATATAGTGTCTGCTGCATATTCGAAACAGAGTGAGTGAGTTGGTTTGGGCGACATATGTATATGGTCTCTATTTGAAAAGGCTACAGAGCTCCAGTTTCAAAAAGTGTGTTGTGATTAACGCCGCACACAACTTTTTAGTGACTCGGAATTGTACTCTGGTGTTTGAAGTTTGTAGTATTACATTTGTTGTTCGGTGGTTTCGTTGGCTTCATTTCTTATCAAACATACTTCACATGAATTCGTTTTACAAAGTAGGGTGGATAATTTGAGATCGCGAGAACCACAGTGATTCTATTTCTGTATACATTGTTTCAGGCTGAAGTCACACTTACATTGTGCGTAATTTCGAAAATGCACGAACGCAAAAATGTCCCTTGCACTGCATTCGATTTTTATCAAGAATTTATGCGTACATCTAGAAAATAATCAGTTTGATACAGGACTAAACAGAAAACACTAAAATTGGTTTATCTGGTTATATGGTGGTAACACGGAATTGTTGCATACTATTAGTTGTGATATGGTTTGAGTTGACAAGAGAACAGTCTGATTTGCGTTGAGTAGATTTGTGATTATTGCTAATAATTGATTACAAAACTGCATGTACATCTCAAAAACAATCATTATGTAGCTCATGTTCACTCGACTATGAAACATTCGCTAACCCTTGTCAAGTTCTACCACACGTTTCCTATTGCGACCAGACAATGACAGCCTGATGGATATGAGTTCCACTCTGTAATTATTTATAAAGCACTTCACCACCAAATGTCATTGAATATACCAATGATCGAATATACCCGCACTAAAGAAATATTTAACGTCCAAATCGGAATAATCTGAAAAGCAAATTTGCTTAATAATTATAAAACCAAACTAAATATTAGATAATTAAAAACATTTGTAACTGTCACCTCGATGGTGTATGTATTTATTTTGTCATTTATACTATTGCAAATGTACCACAGTTGGTGGGTTTGTTGTATAAGCAATAAGTGCATCTTGAATCTTGAAACGTGTACTTTGTACCTTGGTAGCAAATAAGTTGGCTCTTAAGAGAACCTGAGCACCTATTGCCATCTAGAATAATGGTTAGTGGTCCAAACAGACTTATACAGGCTTCCAAAATTTAAATGAACACATGACATGTAAATTGTATGAAATCATCGCACATGCATTTATAACATTTGTTAATGAGGTATTATTTGAAAAATCTGTTTTTAAATTTTCAATTCTTCTCATTTGTAATCAGTGCCCATTAAAAGACATAATGTTAAATCACACTGTTACACCTTCTGATTTCACAGCTCTTCATTAGAAGGATCATCATTAATGTGAAGGCGATGTGCTCAAATATATGTTCATGTCTAAACGCTCTGACTCATAAGCTAAAAGTTGAAGCAATATGAGCAAATCATGCCTACTTGCATCAATTATCAGATCTTTGAATGTCATTTAGAGGTGATACACATAAGAGAGAATTTATGGATGTCAACTACTTTATTATGAGGAACGCGACGTCTCCATACTGGAGACTCCGATAAACTGACTCTGAACTGACCAGTCCTTGTTTTAGCCCCTAATGTTACATCTTTTAACGGTTTTTGCTAGGCTCTCATTCATATTCACATAGAGTGTACACAGTGCACAACAATATTATCCCAATCATATAGTTTAGGGAATATTTTTCTATGGATGAGGCTTAAATTAAAATAATATTTGCTTTATATCTTTTTATTGCTAGGGTATCCATGGTAAAACTTTATTTATCTTTCAGTGAATATATACCAAGACGTGAACAAGCAGTTGCTGAGTTCCTGAAATATGCTTCTTATGATGGCCACGTCCTGTCCATGGGAATTCATGTGAGCTACCTATATGGTTCAAAGCAAGAAAAAGATCCTAAAAAGAAAAAACAGAAGCGAGAACAAAAAGCAAATGAGTTGTTAAATAAAGTTTCAGCTTTGCGCAACTCAAACTCTGGGTCGATATTGATTCATCTCGTTGGTTTAGCAAAAGAAGATCAGTTCACTGGTGCATTTGATGAGTTTGCAGATACCAAACTAAATTCCTTGATTCACGATGGAAAACTCTTCCCTGATGTTTATAGAAAACAAAGATTAAGTGATCTTGAAGAATGTTGTGAATTCCATGATTTTCTAGTTCTGTTCGTGTCTGCAGCTTCAACCGTGACAACCTCCGACTTTAACACCAAGGTTGCTCTTGATGACTGCATCCTAGACCCTACTGCTGAATCAGTCCGAACATTTCTGAAGGAAAGAAAAGTGTACAACAAGACATTCCATGTACTTCCTGGAGTTGCCTCTACATCTGACCTAGCAAGCTTACAAGAAAGTAGATCAGTCCAATTCAAAAGTCACTTCTCACAGAAAGTCAAAGCAGATGAAGTAGTTGATTGCATCTCTCACAAAGTCCGCCTTACGGAGTATGTAAGTGCGTTTTCCAAACTTGAAGGAGGGGGTTCTTTTTTGTATGGCATACACGAGAAGAAGGTGACCCATGGTAATTGTGGTTATGATTCTAAGGAACCGATTCCACAGCCAGTAACCATCACTGATGAAAACAATTTCAAGGATACACTAGCACAAAGGATACAGGAGAATACTCTTGTTTGTGACTATGATGGTGGGGCATCAACTGATGCTGATGTAGCACAGGTACGGTTAATCCCTTCAAGAACGAACGTGGACAACACTCAGAGACTCAATTGTCAGAGAGGAACTGCAGGTGCAAAAGAGGCAGTTGTTCAGGTATCCGTGAGGCCAGTGACAGGAATAGTGTTCTATGACAAAAAGGGACCATTGGCTTACAGGTATGATGTAAATACAGACAATGTCACAAGAATGAATGTCAAGGAATGGTTCCGTGCATTTACTAGAACTAATGCCTAGGATACATCAACACACACATGCACAGGAAACAACAACGAAGGTAAGTACATGTCAATCAATATCTGTATACAAGAAATAGTCAACTTCCTGATGGCTCTATCCCAGCAAACCGTTTTAGTTGAATACCCTTAACAATGTATGGACTTAATGCATAAGGCTGCCACATTAATATTCTAATACTCACTAATAAACTAATTTTCGTTCAAAGATCTTTATTGATATGTGACCCGTTTTAATTCTGGAAAGCATTTCGTCCAGAAACTCTTCCCACTGTGACAAGTTGTTTTTTTATGGATGAACTAAACAAAGATTGACAATTGGTCCTCAATGTCACACACCCAGGAAATATGTTGTAAACTTAAACATAGACCATTGGAAATCACAAGAGCTTTGAAATTCAAATAAACAAATAACAAATAACAAATCGTAGTATTTACACAAACACGGGTATGTAAATTCCAATGGGTCTTTCCCATTTTGTTGTGATACTTCCTAATTTTGCGCATGGGGTTATACAACTTCATCCCTTGGTACTGATGATGCTTTTATTCAGGTAATGAGGCCACCGGCCCATTATACACGTGCAGAGCATGATGGCATATAAATGTGACAGAGCGCTGAATTATAAGATTTACAATGCAGTGTTCAAACTGTTAATATTGGAGTTAATTATATGACACAGGTATTCCCTTGAAAATGGAATTACGTTTCTAACCAGCAAGAAATACATATTTTGCTAAATTGTTGCAAATACTTTGATTAGTAGAGCTGAATAATAAGAACATTTTCTCACGACTTGGAAACATGTGATAATAATTGGGTATGAGATTAGACCGCAGATCAAGATAGAACGGACACACCATACAAAAGTGGAACTCATCTTCGATAGCACTGACAACACAGAGGGGACAGAAACGTTCATGTCTTGGTATATTATGATATCTGCCTGTTTCAACCATAAGACGATGATTGGATCCGAGAAAATTCAAGATATTAATTCGAAATAATGTTACATCAATTAATCGAATCCAGTTATTATATGAAAATTTATCCCTTACTGCAGAGAACAATTCAAGCTTAGAACAAAATTGATTGACTTGATTTTCAATGTCTACGCTCCTTTGCCTAAACTGATGTAAGAATAAGTCAGATCTACCAACACCCTGTTGTAGCCATACCTCTGCAAATCCGTAAGAAAACAGCAATGATTTAACCTTGAGTGCCCAGCAAGCGTTGCCATTCTCTGCCCTTTTATATTGAAAACTATATGTTTTTTTCAAAATCAAATTATTATCTTGTATCAATAGTCGAAGCCAAATTTATAATTTTTAAATAATGTGACACTTTGACGGAGTTTCTCATCAAGACAGATTTTACAAAGCTATTTGGTGTGTTTCTACTCAAACCCAAAGTCAATTTACAGAATTTACTGTGCACATTTTCAATGTCAGGTGATGCATGGAATCCCCAAACTTCCGATGCATATGTCAAAATTGGTAACACTTTTACATCAAAAATTTTGAAACAGACATCTGGTGGCAGGTATGAGAATTTACCTAGTCTAGACTGGAGGATTTGAATCATCTTCCAAGCTTGCTGGGCTTATGTCTTCTGAGTTAAACTCCACGAGCCAGAAGAGGAAAACTGGACACCGAGATACTTATAATTCGATACTGTGGTGACATCATCATTTCCTATCCCTTGGTACTATACACTTACGTTCCATAACTAGAATATCCAATATTCTTCCTTAGAAATGTAAAAGCTTAACTCGCCAGGAAAACACGACTCGCTGATGGGTGGGTGTGAGACATTTATGACATTTATAAGATTCGGATATCCAAATTGGTATACTGTATGAAGCACATTTGGGGTGTTCCCCGGCATAATGGGATGTAATATTGCTTAAAGTTGCGTAAAACCAATCTCATTCATCCTCAATTTCGGGAACAGTTTGATGGATTGAGCTGGATCACGTTTAATATCCCCGCCAAAATGGGGTGACCCTTTCCTTCAATACATCAGTTGAAAGTTTACATTTGTATTTACATCAAGACAAGTAATATGAGTTTTCTAATGAAAATAAAGATGCTTAATGCTCTAGTTTTTGGAACTTTAGTGCCAAGTACCATGGGCTCAATTTCGGGTCAATATGTTGATGTCCGATGGTCAAAATGGGTAAACTCTGTGGGAATGATGTATACATGTAACTCAAAATGACGTCAAATACATGATTCTATATCTTTATTTACATCTTTGTGTTAGTGAATTATAAATACATGTCTGAAGAGATAACCTGAATTTGAAATTCCATGGGCGTAATCGACTGATATGTTGTCCTGAAAAACAGCCACAATGTTTTGGGTGAGTATGATTAATTTCGTACAGAACAACTGACTGATATATCTTTCTTTCAGTCCACAGCATTAACAGTACTGTCACTAAAATGTGGAAGTTGTTGGTATGTATTGCATGTTCTACAAACGTTGGTTTATTGAGAAGGTGGCCAAGTGTTTTAGTTGTTGTAAAACAATCTCATATGATGTCACGTTTATGGTCACTATGCCGACATGTTTACAGTTTTTGCAAACTTAATGACAGTAGCCTGCATAAATATTTTAAGTATATATTGTTGATATTTTATGTTTAGAGTATTCCAATTTACAAGTAAAGGATGTTCGCTGGATATGAATTCCTAAGTTGGATTCCCAGAATTGTACTGATATGAAAGCGATGTTGACGCTTTCATTCCAATGACCCCACAGTACCGCAGCGAAACTAAATTACTTGAGTTCTAAATCAAGTACCAACCTTGATCTTATGGGCATGCTGGCACAGTAAGGCACAGTTGTGGAGGTTTACAGCAGACGTTCAATGTATAATTATCATATTGTGTTCTAAACATTCAAACGAGCCACATATCAGCGAATGTAAACATTTGTAACGCACCTCTGCGCTGGTAGCTTAAGGTCACGCCCCCAAAAGGGTTTGTTTTGGAAGTGGATTACGGAGGGTGTGATTTCAGCACTTCTGCGTTGACATTTATACTTTCTATGAATTCATGAATTTTCTCTCTAGGAAATAGATTATATGTACATGTACATGTAGGAAAAATGATATTCGCAACAAAAATTGAAATATATTTTTTGTTCAGTTTACTTGCCCTTTAAGGAAACATTTATATATGTTATCTATAATTGGGTGGTTACATTAGGCGGGCTTAGACCAGGCAAACAAGGGCCGATATTGTATCCCACAACCAGCATGCCTCTTATTGCTTATTATTTACTCAAAAAATCTAATAAATTTTAAAGAAATCTACCCTGTAAGTAGAGTTTATGTATGAATCAGTTTGTTTAAGACACATCTGATCATTTTTTATTTAGGGCCCATTTAGGACATTTATCCAAATCTACTCTATGACTAAATCATATTAGTAACGGCAATTTGCAAGGTGACTCTCATAACATACCATGATTCCTTCTGTTTTCAAGAAACAAATCGTGAAAGAGGATGAGGGTAACTTCACTTTGGAAACCAATGACTTTTTTCGACCGAGCCTGAAGCAGATTGGAAACAGTGTCTTCGATATCAGGAATTACTACATCCCTCAAGGTATTAATTCAGAGTGTCTGTATGAACTCTTTACACAAAGAATTCGTGACATCAGAAATAAATTTGACCATGTCCAACAATCAAAGTTGTGTATATGCAGATATCTGCGCAACATTCAAACGTTAATGAAACACACATATGGAAGTATTTCTTATCATAACACATATCATGATATGGCAATTTTCGTTTTCCCCTGTATATCACAGAGCCCAAAAGTTTACTCTCCTGCGATAAACCTAGAAACTCTGCCACAGGCTACCGCGGCTTACACAGTCTAATCAACAACTTACAATATGTAAAAGGTCTCCACATTAAGATAAACATATATCATGAAATGATGAACCTTCATTCCGAAAATAAACTAAAACAGCAGACATTGAAGCCCTATGGAGAGAAAGACATACCCCAACTTTTATGTGTAAAGATACATTGTCATACTCATCAAAAGTGCAGTTAGTAGTGTTCAAAACAATCTGTAAATCGTACTGAAAAGCTTTCATTGTTCTGACTTTAGAATTAGTGTGTTTGTTTACAATCAAGAGAAGTCTGATCAAGAGATAGGTAAATTAGCTTGTGACAGTGGTGTTATGCTAAGTGATCATTGCACAAGAGTGTGCCAATACGTGCCTCTTCTACAACCAGGGGCGCCCGTTGTCCTTGGTTACCAATCTGAGTTATCTGCCCTTGACTTTCCTTGATACTAAGGTGCTGGCGTTTGTGGAATTATATCCTTTAACATCGGTCTCATAATGCGTTCTTGATGAAGGGAACTTCACAATTACCTTCATAGGAGGTTACTACATGACATGCTCGGCGCATGTTAAATTTGGCTGCACACGGTTTTTGTATTTTTCCACCAAAATCGTTCTGTCTCTATCTTATTGTTTCATCACAGCTGCCGCGGTGACGACTAGCTTTATTTATTGTATGATGTTTCTTCGTGCATATAAACATACATTTAATGTCAACAGCACGGCAGATCGTTTGAATTTTCGAGAGGAAGGGACCAGTATCCACGAGGACGTGTGTACTTCTCCTGTGTATGCAGCGATTTGCTTTTCTTGTCGCTCGGGCAAGTCAAGAAGATTTCCCCTCTGTCCTGATCGGAGGGAATCTGGCTCTGAGTTCAATTCCCTATGCACGGAATGTAATATATTGTATTTTACGGGCAAGCCAGATGACTATCTATGGAATATCAGGACTACTCAGCAGGCGTTGATGAGGGAGAAAGGTAGGCAAGAAGTAGCATCTAACGAAGTGAACTCCATTCTTACAACATCTTCTATCGGACTGCAGTGTCCAGGGTAGAGACAACCATGACGACTACATCGCTGTTTGGCAGCGTTCCATCAAGAAGGGTCGCTTCACTCAGAACTGGCATTCTCCTTAGGAGTGGCACCTTCTGACACACAGTTAAATCCTGGGGATTCATTGGACGCCAGACTGGGATTAAGCATCATGTTGTTCTCCAATCACCACAGTTTTTAACCCTGACTATTTGTGGTCATGACGACAACCTTGCTGATAGGCCCTGTTTCCTGCCTGTTGACTTGGCACCATGACCCTCCATGGAAAAAAAGAGTGCTTTGGAGTCCGGAGTGTGACAACGAGGGCTATGTAGTTCACCAGAACAGAAAGAGGCTGAGCAGAAACTTATTTAATCATACATGACTTGTTAACAGTTCTGGACAATTGGGGTGTGCAGTCGCCTGTTGTCACAGAAATAGTGTCTCCTGTTGGTGGCAGGCTAATGACTGGGTATCGCTAAGACATAATTCAGCAGCTTTCATTGACTACCTTTAGATCTCGAGATCAGCTCATGCAGTTTAGCACTGAGGAGAAGGTGAGTGTCTTGTTGCAACTTATCCTGGTTTCTTGAAGTTGATCATTCATCAAGTCAATAATGTTCTGCTGAAGCTGGTTATTTTACAGATGCTTCACTTCCGTGCAAGAGAGACAACAACTGTATGTCTCTCCAATCGTGGCGTGGTCATCATTTAGCGAGGTATACGAGACCCATTCCTGAATATATTACTCATTAGGAATGAGTTCCTAAGGACCTTATACTGCATGTACACACAAGATTGACAGATGAAAGAAGAATGTGAGACCTGGTTTCATTTCAGTCATTTTAGCTCATAGGAGATCTGTTGAACACCAGCAAGGGCCTCCTAATGGTGCCAGTTGTAAGACGACCGAGATACAATAATTCTGCAGGTTCTCAGTCAGGACATATCGGTTCATCATTGTCAGTGAGTGTCTGCTTGGACTCTTGACGTCAGCGCACATTTGGCAGTACATTCCAGGTATACAGGTTGATAGACAGCCCACCACTGGAGGCCAGGGCTCGCCACATACCAGGCATTACAAATGTCGTCGCTGACGTCCGATCAAGGCGAAACCAGTCCACTCCAACAGAAAATCAACTGCTTCGGTTGATATGTCAACACCTGGACATGCACATCGATCTGGGCGCTGCATGATAAAACCATCAGCTTCATGTGTTTGTGTCTAAAATTCCAGATCCCAGATACACTAGTACTGGCCTGAGATCACAACCAATGGCCATATTTTGGGAATAGCTCCATGCCTTTTCCACTGTAGGCGCTACTGCCTAGAGTACTGCTGAAGTTGATGGACATGAAATTTAAGAACTTTCGGTTGCGCCTCATTGGCCCAGGAAACTATGATTCCGTGAACTAAACAGATCACAGGAAAAACGTCTTCCATGCTCGGAAAAGCAGTCCATGCACAATTCATTAGTGGAGGCAGGCACATTTAGATCAAGATGTTTGATTCACACGGGGAACATCCACAAAAGTGTTAACGGGGTGTGAAATTCTCTATCAGAGAAGCACAGGCCATTGTGTGGGCACAGAGGAATTCCACTTGAATGTCCCATGTCACCAAAGGATATTCTTTCACTGACTACTGCAGGGCAAGAGAGGTTGGGTCCCATGTAGGCGATGCCTTTTTTTAATGACTAACTACTTGCCATTTCTACGAACGTGGTGGCTCTGTAGCAGGGTAAACTGCAGCCATCAACCAAGTCCTAGCAGCTCCAAGGTCCAGCACAGTGTCGGAGATAACAGCCATGTTGTAGAGCTTCAGACTTCACGGTAAGAAGCGCTCCAGACCTCTTATCTGGCCTGGGACCAGGTGTAGAAGAGGCACATTTTGGATTCTGTGTTATATGATTGAAGTGAAAAAATAAATTGCAACGTGTTGTGTCAGGATACAAATACTAATATCATGAATATCCAAATTCAGGTAATATTAGTATTTCACATCATTTGATAAAGTGATGATAAATAACATGTCTATATTTAATGTTTCACTTGATGTTCATGTAATACCACGATCTACATATGTTCGTAAAAATGCATACATAAAGCATCCTATCAGGATTCCCTCAATAATATGAAATTAGTACATTGTACATGGAATACATGCTGATTACATAGTAAATGTGCGAGTTAATTCCATTAGGAAATCTATATGATGTTACAGGCACTCTTGTGGCGGCTGTATGTGTCTTCATGTACATGTTAGCATATGAGGAACAAAATGAATTTCATTTTAAAGTAGCAACTATTCACACAAAATCATCAAAATAATTAAAAGCGACAAAAAAGCAGAGTACATTGTATGATTCCGTCTGCATCTGTATCAATAACTACAATTGCAACGTGACTGTATGGTTTCAGAAGGAGTGAACATATTACCAAGCAACATTGAAACACCCCTGAAAGAAGTTAAGGAAAAACTTTTAGAACTTTTGGACAATGGTGCTTTTGACTTTCTATGCAACGATGCAGTTAACAAACGTACCAATCAATATGATGCACAAGGAGGTGTTGTGTTCATATCTCAATCGTTGGCTCCCGTCTTTGATATCCCTACATCGGCCCTGGCAGGTCATGTCATATGTGATGCGTTCATCGCTCTACCTGGACATTCTGTCCTGGTCCTCACCCTGGTTGACGGGGACTCCTTCTCAAAGGAAGTATTGGAGTATAACATGTCTGTGGCTAGAGGAGTGACAGTAACACTCAGTAGATTCATGAACGAATGTGTACACCCAGTACATGGAGTGCTACCTGCCTCGACATTAAACAACATTGTGTCCTTTAAAGCTCGCATAGACAGACTTGTAACAAAGTCATCACACTTTGTCACAAAGGACTCACTGGTTATGAATCCTACCAGGTATGGCAAAGTCCTGAACGCTTTCTGGGCAGGTGTTGCAGAGACAAAGTCGTTGATGACAGAGCGTGGGGAAATAGATGATGACAGTCTGAGATTTCTTACAAGAGAACAATGTATTATACTAGTTGAGAACATCAACAGTAGAGACGTTCAGGTGATGTGTGGACCACGTACTGGAGCCACGACGCTGATGCTGGAGGTAGCCAGGAGACTAAGCAGGCTGGGGGACACACTTCTGGTCTGTAAGTCCCGGGAAGAGAGGGATAGACTCAGGTATATATACAATTCGAATGAGCACCGCTTAAGTGGAAACATATACCAATTCAAATTGACAGATGAAATGGCTAGAAAAGGTAACTAATTCTGACAAACAAAGCTGTTTATCATTTCACTTAATAATACCATGGTTGCACTAGAATTATTAAATCACTTCTTCAGGAAAGTGTATCGGCCAGCTGTATCAGCCGATGAACTCGGTACGCTGGACATGTCATCATATACAGTCATCGTGGATGAAACTAACGTGACAAGAAACTACCCAGTATGTTCACGCTGGAGATTTACAAACAGTGAGTATATCTGACATGTCTGTAACTTAATATATATTTAAAAACTACCATTTTAGGTATGACTGTTGTCTTCATCATTTAATTTCAATTTCGTTTATTTTTCTCAAACTAAGAGCACATACACATACCCACGGTTGCGCACAAATTTGAATCATTCGATTCAGATTATTCCTAAAATAAATAGGAACACCGTAAGTTTAAAAAAAGTCCAAGGTTAATCTGGCTGTTAAGTTGGCTGGGGCTCAAATAGTTTTCATGTTTCAATCATATCCAAGTGTCTCCATTTTTAGATACTGTTACAGGGATACATTAAAAGACAAAAGACATACTACCACTCTTGCATTTATGAAAGAATCACAGAGATAGAAATGTAATATGTACTTATAAAAGATGAAAACATTCGTTACTTTGATACATGGAAGGGGCCATATACGAGGTAGGTTCGTAAACTGTGCATCACCTTCAAAGATGCTCACCGCGGTTGTTACCTTCAATGTCTATGGATTTTTTCTGTCAAGTGGAATCTGGAAACTTTGTGAGGTAGAACAGGAAAACATACATTTATATCTAACCCATACCACTTCAGATTGTTTTAAAAAAACTTCCAAGTATTTGCTTTCTGTCACATTTAATAACAATCCTTCTCCATTGTAGTTCAAGAAGAATTGGCAAACCTGAAGATGCGTACAACAGCCATGAAAAGAGTAAGTATACATAGATGCTTTCAATATGGTCTCTGGTGGTCTCACATCGATATGAATCTTGCAGCATGTAATGATTATAGATTTTAAGACATTACCGCGAGGCTTTGGTTGACATGGACGACAAAAATCATCATGACTTCGTTGATGACTGTCTTACACGTGGTTAGTTATCTATGTCAGATTGTATGCGTATGTAGTGTATGAGGGTGTATTTAGGTCAACGAGATGAATGATGGAATAATTGTATTTTTCAGGATGTGGACACCGTGAAAGGACAGATAGATGCATTAGAGAGTTGTGAGTTCATGAAACATAAAATTGAAATATAGGTTTCATGTTAATAATATCGTATCGTTCCGATATCAAATTAATTCGAAAATCCTTACAACATATTCCAGACGTTCCGCAAACGTACCGTACCTTCAAGCTTAATATACTTTTACATGAATGCATAATTTAAATTATTCAGTACCTTTTGTTATATTTTCCAACATGTAAGGGTATCTATAACATCCATAAATGTTGACGGATGAGACGGAAGTAACACGTGTACCAGGTTTGGTATGACATGTATCACAGTATCACAGTTCTCAAAATGCAATAATAGTGTCTCCATTGACAAGGGTGAGGGGTTTTGCTGCTTTGATCATTATAGGGCAAAACATACAGCCGGTGGGATGATGTTAAATTCCTTGGTTTGTTTGTTTCTATGTTTCTTAGCGCAGCATTCAGCAATATTCCAGCTATATGACGGCGGTCTGTAAATAATTGAGTCTGGACCAGACAATCCAGTGATTGACATCATGAGCATGGATCCAAACAATTGGGATACTATGACATGCATCAACCAAGTCAGCGAGCCTGACCACCCGATCCCGTCAGTCGCCTCTTACGACAAGCATAGTCGCCTTTTACAGGAATCATACGTGGCTGAAGACCTATTCCACCCCGGATCTTCATGGGTCTAAATTCCTTGGTAAACAAAATGTTATTGGGTTGTGGTATGCTTTTGGCTTTATGGGATGTACTGTGTGTCTACACATTTCATTACTTTCCAGATGAATGTCAAAGACAGATAAACTTCCTTTTTGAAGAAATGGATGTGTTGCGGCTGCTTTCCGTGAAAATAAAGCGCTTCATGACTGTGAGTGATGCTGAATAGTTGTATAATATGTATTTATTGGGTTGTCAAGGGCAAAGGCTGTATTCATCATCAACTGTGACATTTACGTAAACCCATTCAAAACATATCCCATTGACACTGCATAACTGGACCATTTCTTGCCCAATTACAACAGTGAGAATCCGCTCCATCCCTGGCTCAGTACTGTTTTTCACACTGGCTTCAGTAGGTACTGGTACAATACTGGTTCTTTTCAGACCTGATATCGTTAAGCCTACGGTCCCACATACGCTAACATTAACTTAAACCAAACTTTGTCAATATAGAATACATGATTGTAAAGATGGTATTCCGTTTGCTAAAACATCGACAGTTAATGACAGCAAGAAAATTTCAAATTCACAGATACACTTATTTCAGAATATTCACTGCTCAGTCCTGCTGGGCCTTTTAGAGCCATTTCTGTCACTCGAACTTCAAAAAATGGTTTATTACCAGTGATAACAGATTTCTATTTATAAACAAAACCTATGTCTTTCCTTTTCGGATATTAGCCTGGGTTTGGGGATTTAAAAACGCAAGGTAAACATCAGGCAAAGATCTTTAGTTGATCTGTAAGAATCGTATTCGTGGAGGACATATTATGCCATTAAAACTTAACATAATCAAGCAGTCGTTTTTAAATTATTATCAAACAGATTTTGGTCTGACATGTGTTTTATAGTCGTCAAACAAACAACATCCTCAGTCAAGATTCTCAAAAAATACACTAAAACTATATTATCTCTCTGTACTGGCTAAATACAGACACGGTAAAGAAGCTATTATTAGGCCTGTATCAATAATGGCCCAGTTGCAGAGATCTGGCTTTGGGCCATCACCGAATCAATGAACTATCTATGGTGATAGTTATCCCTACTGGTGTTAGTGTCGCTAAACCGACATTATCCCGTTGTTGCCCGGCAAGTTTCTGGCATGTAATGGTCAAATAGCATGTGGTATTCGGGCCCGGTTACAAGTAAATCAGTATCGACACATTGCCATATAAGCTGCATATGTTTCAGAGCAGTTATAGCTGTCGTTATATCGCTAGGGTTCGCTTGATTATGCCTTGTTAGCTAGTTTGTTGTTTAGAGATAGCTTTGCCCCAAAGCACATTCACTGCGTTCATTACAATGGTCAATCATTTCACTGACATGGATATAAACATCCATTGATAGTAATAAGTACACTTTGACATTTGATGAGAAATAGTCTGTTATACACATGAGAATTTTGCCATGCTATTCTGAAATGCAATGGTGAGAAGGCTTTGCGTTACTATCAGTTTTGTGCTTGTATTTATTTATTTTTGTTTGTCAATATTGTAGGAACATGATCGAAAGAAAAAGGCACTTCGACACCCTCCAGCTGACGACCTTTCACCAGGTGAGAATGAGGAGGTTAAACATATGGTGAAGCTATATGAACTAGTGTGTCATTCATGGTGAGATACCAAGGTGTAAGAAGTATATGCTGTGCCTGGCTGCGTTGTTCTTTAAGCTTGCTTACCATGAGAAATATCCTTCATTCATCCTTTGGAATACTGTTCTCACAAGTAAACGGGTGTCTTCTGTTACAGTGTGTGGCGGTCGGGACCTCCTGGCGATTAGGATGAAACCTCAAGTCATTGAGTTTAAACAGAGAATATATGGACAGGAAGATGTTCTGTGCAGCATAAAAGAGGTGAAAATATGAGACAGACAGGGGCAAACACGAAAAATAAATATGTAGTAAGAAACAAGATAAAACAAAATAACATACAACTTGACTGTTTGCGACTTATATTGTTCTCGTTTCTCTAGTTTCTAGTTGAAGACAAGATCCACATTGATTATCTCCAGACTACAATAGGTAAGTACATAGAATGCTCACGGAAAGATCATTCATGCTTATAGTCACCACTTCAACTCTAGACATTAGACGTAATTTAAGCACCAGGTAATTAGCTGACCTATTAGAAGTCAACGCTTCGTTTATATGTTATGCACTATGAGGTCATCTTCGTGTATGGTTTGCCAGGAACTTTGCAAACGTTATTGAATCAAACTGAAGTCGTCGTGTCGAGCAAAGTTAAGCAAATGACAGAACAGGAAAGCAGTTATAATTCTTACGAAATCTATACTTCTAATACATCTTTGCCATAAATCCTGTATTTTGGCTTCAGTCACACTAACTAAAATTTTCAGATTTTCAACAGACGTCCTCTTCACTGTCAGTCACACACAAATAGCATCGTAACCATCCAATCTATGACGTATGCAGTGGCGGGAACCTCACTTTTTTCCTGTGTGTGCTTGAGTCAACACCTATTGTAATAGTGTAACAATCTAGCACTTGGTTGTAAGTCACATTAATCTAAGATTATTATAGCGTTCCGTCTGTCCGTCCGTCCGTCCTTCCGTCCGAGCTTTTGTACAGCCCATTTTAACCATGCACCCTAGCTTCACCAAGCTTTCTACACACATTAACCACAATGAGTACTTGTGCCTTTTGCTAGTTTGAAGATTCTGATTTTTTTAATTTTTGCCGTTTCCATGGAATCATGATGAAACATAAATTTTGGTTGACCAGCGGGAGCACGTGAGTATTAACTGGTGTGATTGTCAGGTCGTAATGAAGTCTCCTCTACTCCCGGTTGCAAGAAGTGTGGTTGATTCATGATCACGGGAGATTCTCATGTTAACTGCATGAAGTGCTGAGAAACGTCTTGCACAGAAGAGAACCGATGTGAACAGTGCGCCAATACGCCTAAGAAAGCCTTCCTTAAGTTAGCTGACCTATTTCTAAGGCTAAGAGGCGTGAAGCGGCCAAGAAGAAGGTGGAAGTCATCACAGCCGACACTGTTCAGACACCTGCTTCCACCCCAGCTCCTCCCATTCCAGCTGAACAATCAACTCCTGCGCTCTCCATGAGTCTGATTCAACAACTTTTCAGCCAACAGCAGATGACGAAGACCATGTTTGAGGCTCGATTCTCAGCCCTAAACGAAGAAATGGGGAATATGGAGACTAATCATATACCTCTGGCTAAGAAAAGTCCCCCGGTCAAGTGCCATCTGTCTCTACAGCACACACGGGTGAAGGGCCTACCCCAGCCGACCGTACCGATCAACGATCTATCCTGACAGCCAGACTGCCAGCTGTTCAGCCAACTGATAAGCCGTACGGCTCACAGAAACAAACTGCACTTCAAGGAACATCCTATCTTGAAGACTCAAGCTGTCGGACTCAGATTTCATCCAGTCGGAGCCAAGCTAGTGGCAGCAGATCTGGCCGTCAGGAAGCTCTAATTGACCTAAAGATCCTCATCAAGAAATTCCTCGTACCTCCGCAAAAAACTCCAGATGGAATCCAGGAGACAGGAGACTGGTTTATCAGCCTCGATTTAAAAGATGTCTGTCTTCACGTCGCGATACACCAATCGTCATGCAAATATCTATGCTTCGTGATCAATGGTCAACGTAACGAGTTCCAGGTCTTGTCATTCAGGATATCAATAGCCCTTGCCTATTGACCATGATTACAGAGCCAGTCATCAGGTTTGCCCACCTCCACCTGGTTCGAATCCATGGATACCTGGACGATTTCCTGGCTCCAGACCAAAAGGAAGCTCAGTTACACCAGAACATGATATTCTTGGTCCAACTAATGACCTACTTCGGCTTCCTACCTGGAAACTGAACATCCCTGCTGACAGCCTTTCTGCCAGGGGAAAATAGTAGCAACAGAATAGGGTTTACATCCCCAGATCTTTGCTTAGATAACCACGCTATGGGACACACCACACCTAGATATACTTGCCACCTGCCAGAACCATCAACTTATGTCAGTCCAGTTCCCGATCCAAGAGCTCACCAGGTTGACGCACTATCGATGGACTGGACGGGTTCATTTGCATACGCATTCCCACCATGGTCTCTCCTAGACAACGTCATCCACAAGGTGGAGGAGACGGATCGCATAATAATCCTGATAGCACCAATGTGGCCCAGCAGAGCGTGGTTTTCCAGATTACTAAGACTACTATTTGAAGAACCTATCCAGTTACCTCTCAATCGAGATCTGTTACGACAACCCAAGTCCAGCATTTTCCATGACATCTATAAAAAAATTAACTACATCTAACTGCTTGGAAATTATCACGCAGCAAATGCAGACATCCGGATACTCTGAGCTTGCCTCAGAAGCTGTGGCAAGATAATGGAGACCTTCATCATCCCTTATGAATAACAACTGATGGTACAGTGGAGAAGACGACAAGGGATTATAACTAATGCTATGTCTATCCCAATGGTAGCGGATTTTCTACTACATCTACGTCAGGACAATAAATTCCGACATGGAACCTTACAAGCCCCTGGCTTAGGCTACCTTACTCAAAAAATCCAGGAATGCTTCCTTCCTCCTTGCCATGGCGACAGCAGCAAGTGTTTCAGAATTCCATGCTATGGACTTTTCTAGTCTCACCAATGATCAACATTGGACCTCAATAACTCTAAGATCAATCCCAGAGTTTGTAGCCAAGAATCAATCTACCACGATGGGTTCGTTGGGCCATAGACCCTATACCATTCCTGCTTTGGAACCAACAGTGGATCACCCGGACTTTTATGTCCCTTCAGAGCTCCCAAGTTCTACCTCTGGGCTACAAACCCATATAGACGCCATCGAAGGAGACTCTTTATATCCTGCAAGACTCATCCCAACAAGGACATAACCAAGGCCACACGCTACCGTTGCAGCAAGTTATACACAGGCTCAGAATTCCACACCACGTCTCGGATCCGGCTCAGCTCATAAAAAGTGACGACATCACGAGAAGTGAGACAATAACCGGAAGTGACGCCAGCACTGGAAATGGTAGGGTAAGGTCCATCTAATGAGGAAATGACGTCTTTGGTAGAAATAGACCTTGAGAGACATCATTACCCAATAAAAGGCCTTGAGAGACGTCATTACTCAATAAAAGTGACGTCAGCACCGGAAGTGACGTCCGCAACGGTATTAGTTTTACATCCATATTGAGTAGAAATAGACCAGAAATCACATCAATATTACAAACAAGATCAGCAAATATAACTGTTATTCTAGTGAAGGTATCACATTTTCAGAGACATTATCAGAATTTCAGAGGAAATTATCCATTATGGTTTCCAGGAGAGGATTACTGTCAAATTACACAGGGAGTTGCTAAAGGCAGGTCCCACCGGGTCCCTCTGATATATTCTGGCAAAGATGTAATAGAGGTAGAGATTTCATAAGAATTATCGATCAATAGTTATCATTATTAATAATTCATAGAAAACTACCTCTATTACATCAGAAGTACTCCCAAACACCTCCCCAATTCACCTACCTCTAGCACCAGTGGTAGTTAGATGTGGGAAAAAAGTGAGGTTCCCGCCATTGCATACGTCATAGATTGGGTGGTTACGATGCTATTTTGGAACAACTAATTGTGTGTGATTGACAGTGAAGAGGACGTCTGTTGAAAATCTGAAAACTTTAGTTGGTGTGACTGAAGCCAAAATACAGGATTTATGGCAAAGATGTAATAGAGGTAGTATTCTTAGAATTATTAACAATGATAACTATTGTTTGCTTTCGCTGTTTATCTGAAAGAAAAGTAAGAGCTCCGTGTCAATTTGCCATTGTGATATGTTGCTAAATAACACACGTTTTAGTTATCCCTCTTTCTAACGAGAGATTCGTCTAGTTACCACATTGTTTGACTTGATCTTTGATTGTCAGGTGTATAGTTCTAGTGTGGGTGAAGTAACTGACTTGTATCATGCTTCTTGCTCGTCAGCTAGTTATCGGGAGAATGAGGGAGTACGGTCTTCACTGCACTGCACTGCACTGCACTGCACTACACTAACTGCGTACGTAACAGGTTACACCACAGCCTACATTGCACTACACTATATTACACTAGACTATACTACACTACACTAACTGAGTGTGTAACAGGTTACACTACGGTCTACACTGCACTACACTATACTACACTACACTAACTGAGTATGTTACAGGTTACACCACGGTCTACACTACACTACACTATACTAACTGAGTGTGTAACAGGTTACACCAAGGTCTACACTACACTACACTTTACTTCACTACACTAACTGAGTGTGTAACAGGTTACACCAAGGTCTACACTACACTACACTTTACTTCACTACACTAACTGAGTGTGTAACAGGTTACACCACGGTCTACACTACACTACACTACACTACACTACACTAACTGCGTATGTAACAGGTTACACCACGGTCTACACTGCACTATACTACACTACACTAACTGAGTGTGTAACACGTTACACCACAGTCTACACTGCACTATACTACACTACACTACACTAACTGCGAGTGTAACAGGTAACACCACGGCCTACACCGCACTACACTACACTACACTACACTACACTACACTACACTACACTAATAAACCTTGCATACTAAAGTTGAGCTGTATGAGCTCAAAACCACAAAACGTTTTTTCATAAGAGTTTTTTTATCCCCCCCCCCCCCCCCCCCCCCCCCCCCCCGGCATATAATGTGGGGGGAAATAGCGGTCAGCCAGTCTGTCCGTCCGTCCGTCTGTCCGTCTGTCCGTCCTTAATCATTTCCTTTTCCGGGGCAGAATTCGAAACCATTCAGTGTATTTGATTGAAACTTGGCAAATCTATCAGGCACATACTGAAGTGGTGCCTTTTGATATTTGGGGATTTTTCTAATTTTTATTTTTTTAAATTTTTATGGAATGAAGTTTGACATAGACTCAATTGGGGATGGGTTTCGTTACCGGGGCAGAATTCGAAAACCATTCATAGTATTTGCCATACTGAAGTGGTGCTTTTTGATATTTTGGGATGTTTCTAATTTTTAGTTTTTTTTAATTTTTATGGAATAAAGTTGGACATAGACTCAATTGGGGATGGAGTTCGTTTCCGGGGCAGTATTAAAAAAACATTCAGTGTATTTGATCGAAACTTGGCAAGACCATCAGGCACATACTGAAGTGGTGCCTTTTGATATTTTGGGATTTTTCTAATTTATATTTTTTTAAATTTTTATTGAATGAAGTTGACATAGACTCAATTGGGGATGGGGTTCGTTTCCGGGGCAGAATTCGAAAACCATTCAGTGTATTTGATCGAAACTTGGTAAATCTATCAGGCACACACTGAAGTGGTGCCTTTTGATATTTTCTTTTACGAATTTTTATTATTTACAATTTTTAGGGAAGTTGGACCTAGACTCCATTGGGGAACGGGTTCATTTCCATTCGGGTCCATTCGAAAACCATTCAGTGGGTAAACAATATATTCAACATTCAACTGCTGACTCATTACATACAGAATTTCATATTTCCTGGTGGTTACTTTACAGACAGCTGCCGGGGGTGAGGGGGGGGGGGGGGGGGGGGGGGGGGTCATCTTTCTGATGACTCTTGTTTAGAATCTACTTGTTTTGTTGCATATGTCAACATTTTGTAACACTAAATACAAAGACATCTGATTGACAAGCGTTCAGTTGAATAACTACGAAATCTTTAATATGGTCTCAATGTAATAGTGTCCTTTCACTGGAATAGAGCATGGCACGAATGTAAATTAGTTTAGTAAGGAAGAACATTTAGTAATCAAATGATATTGTTTTACTGCATTCTGAAACATCTGGAATGATGGCATAGTTTTGTTGAGCTTAATTCTAAAAATCAAGTCTGTAAAAGTAATAATGATGTTTACTGGGTCGTTGTTTCTACTTGGATAACCAAGCAGAGTATGAATGAAGTTGAGTTTGATTTTGAGTGTTCGAGGTGTTTCCTGATGTGTTTGCTTTGCTTCAGTCCAGAATACATGATCAGAGTTACTGTGTTTCTACAACTACTGCTGTCTATATAGTCTACTTTCGACAAAAAGGTGTTGGCTGGAAGTATATGATGTAATAAAGTTAAAAAAAAATACGTCTGTACAACACCTTTATTTTTTCAGATTCTTGGATAAAGAAACAGGATTCAGGTACAGTAATTACCTACCTTCGAATAGTCACCTGGCATGTCGAACGGCGTTCGTTTTTGATACTTCGTGAATGTCTTGAAGTCCAGTTTATTTTCAGTTAAATACACGTCCTTCTATTTTAGTGTTTTTTGGAGAATATTTTCATGATCCCGCAGCCATAAACCTTGAAAGGGAACTGGAACGCGTCACCAAGCAGGTACGTTGTTATACATACGATATAGGAATGATCTCATACATTTTAGCACACCTGACTGTTTGTCCGGCGTCCAACTATGTATTCATAAAGCAGGTACAGTTGTTGAAACCTGACTATTTATGAGTTGCGGTTAACATTTTTGTTACAGTTTTGGGGAAAAGGTTTGGACAATGTGTGCTTAGGATCGTTGATTCTCTTCCATGATAAAATGTTAATAGGCAGTTAACTTCACTCAGTTGCAGGTAAAGATGGAGAGAAACAGTGAAAAAAGTAAGTTTATGTTTAATGGTCAAAACAGGATGTTCTAAAACTGTGGTAAACAGTGGTTAAATAATCATTACAATTATTAAATTGGTATTGACATTTTTCTGTACTTAGAAAACTGAAATAAAGGATTATTAGCAGATTAATCTACCATAGCAGAGTGACAGGAAAGGGGGTTCGGTTTAACGCCCTTTTTCAATTATTCTCAATCATGTCACGACGTGTCAGTATAATTTGTGAGGAAAAGCAGAAGCGAGAATTTACCACATTGATTTGAAAGACCTAGCATTGGTATGGTCGTAACCAACCAAGTATCACAAACAGGGTGAATCGTGTTCGATATTTTGAAGAACTTTGGTTGTTTGGAATGAACAGGATGTAGCAACACTAAAAGTGTTTCTATTAGTTACTTTCAATTGTAAGAAACTGATATAATGTGAATAAATCCTAAGTAATGTTACACAAGTATGATATTCCTCATTCTGGATGTACGAATCACTGCTACTGAATTGTCGAACGCAGTACCACCCAGAAACAAAGTCATTTTACCTCATGTGACCAACTGTTACTTCGTCGCTGAAAGTGCAAAGTGTCACTTTTGTCAGTCTTTGATCTGTGTCTCTCGTGTGGTACTGACATCATTAATCATGATACATTTATAATCATATAGTCAACAATGAAATCGTAGGTTTGATATTTAAAGATAGGAGACATATAGATGAGTTTTGTATCCCACGAAAAGATGCATATTTAACATCGTTGAAGTTTTGATACAGTTCAGTAAAGTTAACTACATGTTGTTCATATAACGAGGTTATCACGCGAGTGTGTTTAGGGATGGGTAATATCCTGTATTAGGAATAAACATTGTGTTTATCCAGCCTTGGCGAGCTAAATACAAAATGTCTATTCCTAATACAGGACATTTACAATTCCCAAACACACAAGCGTGATACATGTAACCTCTTCATCAAAAATGTCATTCTTTAATTCTGTGCTTGAAAATCTCTTTCCATCTCTCACAAATATTATCTATACATTTTTTCCTGGAATGTGCGCATTAATATATATTACGTCAGAGGGTAAGTGATGTGTCAGTCGGACAGTGACAGTAGCCAATATAGTTCCAACAGAAACGTGTTTCTTACACAGTGGCGTAACCAAATATATGCATAAAAAACAATTGCCGACAAAAATTGTTTTTACTTGCCTTTCGCGGCAATTCAGCGGTCTGTCCGATAGAGTGACTCCCCTTTAGGTTTCTCGGCAGGATAAAGCCAACGGATAAAAAACGGATAAAGCGGGATCAGTACGGGATCTGTGCTTGTAGACCTCTGCTGCTTAAAAACCTTTTCCACAAATTAAAATAGTTGGATTCCTGCCGAAATATGTTTGAATTGTTACCTTGTTTCGTTTTGTCGCTGTGTGTACATCTGACTGCACTTCTTAACGTTATGACGGGACAGGCCGACTGTCAACAGCGTCTGACCGTGGCCGTGACGTCTCATAGACTAGGGTTAGAGTAGCTTCCCTTTGACAAAGGACAGTTACTTTAGCGGACAGACCGATGGATTGCCGCGAAAGGCAAGTAAAAACAATAGTTGTTTTGCGTATATGTTGCTTCGCCACTGTATAAGAAACAGATTTCAGTTGGAACTAAATTGGCTACTGTCACTGTCCGACTGACACTTGCCCTGTGACGTAATAAATATTAATGCGCGCATTCCAGGATAGCTTGCAATGTTTAGGTAATGTTTGTGAGAGGGAAAGCGACTTTAAAGCACAGAATTAAAGATTGATATTATATGATAAAGAGGTTATCATGCTTGTGTGTTTGGGGATGGTAAATATCTTGTATTAGGAATAAACACTATGTATTTAGGTCGCCAAGGCTCGCTAAATACAATTTTTATTCCTAATACAGGATATTTACCATCCCCAATCACACTCGCGTGATAACCTCTATTCATCAAAGGGAGGCTGCTATAAACCTAGTCTATGAAACGTCACGGCCACAGTCAAGACGTTGTTGATAGTCGGCCTGTCCTGTCATAACGATACGAAGCGCAGTCAGATGTACACACAGCGACAAAACAAAACAAGGTAACAATTCGAACATATTTTAATTTGTGGAAAAGGTTCCAAGCCGCAGAGGTCTACAAGTACAGATGGGAAAGTGATCCCGCTTGGCTAGTGCCCTCGCTAAACATCTTTCGCAATTTATATCTCCAAAGTTGCAAAAACTTGTAAAAATGCCTTAGCTATGTCACAGTAAGACACTGATTTTCGTTATATAAGACTATTCTGTTCATGATGACTCCAATTATCCCAGTAGCCATGTTTGCTTGTAAACAGTGAAAGTAGTCCCTACTTGACCTTTGATATTTGCATCTCTATCCGCATATGACACCAACGGATATCGTTTTATCCGTTGGCTTTATCCTGCCCACCTATTATATGATAAATTAGTGTATCAAGATACATTATCAAGATATATTAGATATCAATGAATAAACAATAAAATATATTGAAACACATATATACAAGTGGCAGCAAAAAACAGAAGCAGATCCTAGAATTAATGTAACATAATATTTTCACTGTTGAATGTCTTAAAACAAGTCTGTCTGCGTTCTTGAACCCAGAACAGTGTTGGAAGCTCGAAGGTATTTGGTGTTTCCAAATGCAATCCTTAATTGGCAAGTAGATTAGAAACAAGTCAGGCCGAGAAGACCTCGAATCACTCTATTGTCGCTTATATAGGTATAGCCAGCCTTCTAGAAAAATTGTCCCTTCGGGAAACCTCTGAAACGATCAAGCCTGTCATGATCATGTGTACAACAAGGACATGAAGCTTTAACTTCTAGTTCAATACCAGTTTTGAAAGCTCCAAATCTGGCCATGACATCGCTAAAAGCAGAGTCCTCTGTACGATTCCGACCACATCATTAAGGCCTTGAATGTTGTAACCATGATGAACACTTCTGAGCAAAGGTCGTATGACACTCTTTGAAATCTTCGCTGAAAGAGCATGCTCGATTGAACCTCAATTCTATTATGCATTTTACTTGTGTTCTCCGCCATTATTTTGCTGGAATATAAATAAAAGTGGCGTGAAACCATACCAACTCACTCAATAGTTGGGATATGGATGTTGGATGTAGATGTCAAAGACTGGAATATTGCTTGACATAAAAGGAAAGTTAAAAATTGGAAAGTTGAAGTCGTCCCTCTTGTCATGCAGTCTTATTTTCTGTCACTCTGAATCTGTATGCCTGTATCTAAATATGAAACAGATGGTACAATGGGACGTAAGATGAGGTGGACATGTAACGTTTGGTATCTGTTATTGACATATCAGACTTGAGTATTCTCCAAAGACAGGGTATAACAAATTTAATCCTCTTGTCGAACTCTCGAGTTCATTTCTACTTATCATATAGTTGGTGTAGAAGTACTAGCTTTGTATCAATGCGTGTTATGGATGTTATGAAATGACAAAATCGTCTGTATTTATCAGATGACGAGGTGATTCCTGCAAATCTGGTGGACGTGTATAAAGGGGATGACTCAGTGGTAAGGAGGATATAGTTACTGTTCTTCCCAAGGTCGGGGATTTCAGAGGGAGGCAGGGTATGGTAATCATGTGTTTTTCATTAATCTTCATAGAATTAGTGATTCACTGGCACGCACATGCAACAGAAACCTAGAGCTGGTCTTACTTTGACATGCTTTCAGTCCTGGTTTGTCTGGTCAAGGCTAAAAAAGTAAATAAAGCAACAGAACCCTTTCCATATCCAAATGAAATCTCTACATAAAGCAGCGTCGATTGTACGTTTCCGACTATATCATGTACATGTGTTTATGAATCACTATCAAATAGCAATGACACTAGGTGTTCGCCTAAAGGTGAGCATATCCTGCCCCACCGTTGGCACCTGTCACAAACACATGAAAAGTAAAGTCAATTGTTCACCTGACAAAAAACATTAACATATGGTACAGGTCCAAATACGGAATTGCATCATATTTTCATCTGATGTGTCAAATTTGGAAATGTCCTTCACATGTCTACTATAAAACATTGCTGACTTAGCTGGAGTTTTGCTGATTGCCTCATTCACTTGGAAACATGGAATTTTGTGTTTTGTCCTCAATGTGGCAAACCAACGTATGATACATCCTTGAATGCAAATATGTTGGTTTATCTTGCATGCAATTACAGATGAAACCACACGCGGACGTCCCACAAGCAGCTCCCATCGCCCCTACGCCACGAAGTGTATCAACGATGCCGTCACAACAGGTAGTAACAATGAAGTCACATTCCACCTCTCGCATATAAACTGGCAAATTATAGAAACACAATGTAAACATTCACATTGCATTTATACAAACCGCTTCTTCTGTTTTAGAATATATCTGAAGGCAGGGTGCGATCTTTCCTTCCCCAGTCAAACCAATGCAAGGATTCGGGTACGTTACTTACATACAGTGTTTACAATGTATCAAATGTCCCGATTTAGGTATATAGGATTCTCGGATCTTGTCATCGTATTCCAATTGCGTAGCTCGATGCTCATGATGTCAACCATTGGATTGTTTGGTCCAGACTCGATTATTTACAGTCCGCTGTACAGCTGGAATGCGGCGTTAAACAACAATGAATAACAACAATTAATTAGAAAAGAAATTAATTACAAATTTATTACAATTAAAATTTGGTCTTACGAAATATTGTTTTTGGCAAAAGGCACATTTCTTTTTCCTGTGAAATATATACATCTAAATATTTTATGAAATTCATTGCTGATATCATCTATGTTACATAATTTCCATGGGTTTTTTAAAATAAAAATAAGGTTGGTGTGGCGAAGAGAAACAGCAAGGCGGACATCTTTGATTGACCTAATCAATTCTTAAATATAAAGAAGCGATATCAAGTGATTATCAACACATCGATAATCGTCATTGATTAGGAGTGTCTGAATTTTAAAAGCACAGATATTACTGCTGCCAGACAGACATTGTTTTAAAAAGAACTTAAGACTAAAATATGCAGTATCCTTACAACAAAACACTCCTTCTGACATCTGTATCATGTGTCATTCAAAACAATATTGACAAAACGTGGCTGATTATTATTATATGCCATCGTCTTGCCTGATCTGCTTTCTGGCATATTTGAATATATTTGAAAAGGAATGAGTCGAACTGAATTCTATCAAACTTTTAGTGAGAGCTATGTCATAGAAGATACCATGCTCCATGGTCTGTTGTCTGTTTTGTGAATATGTTGTCTCGATGTACTTATGTACCATTGTATAACTAGATGGATCAAAATATCAGAGGTTTATATGATCTCAAAATGATATATTAAGTATACATTTTACTCGATCCAGCCGATGAGTCTGATTTGAATTGTCCCTGTGTAAGAAATACTTTCTTCAATTGTATTCCTGTGGTCCTCAAACAGTTTAATGATTTCCGTGGACTCGTTGCAAAATGTAGTTTCATGGCATGTAGTGTTTAATGTCAAGCTAGGCGCAGGATGCAGTTGGCATGTGGGGAGTATTTATCGTTCGCCTGTCCTAAGATGCAGCTGACGTGTAGGGTATACTCGCATGGGCTAGATGGAGTCTGCAGCTGACACCTCAAGGTCATGTACGTGGGCTGAATGTAGGATGCAGATGGGTCCTAGCGGATATTGACATATCACGGTTAGAGTACAGTGTAGGTATTATTTATGTGGCCTATGTAAGATGTAGCTGCCATGAAGAAGGTATTAGTTTGAGCCAGGTGTGGAATGTAACAGGATTATTGACATGGGTCAGGTGTGTGGTGTAGCTAACGTGTTGGCTATGGGGTTATTGGCCATGGCTGTGCTCAAAAATCTACTATAATTAATCGTATTAAGTTAGAGACGCATTAATTTCAAGATTTACAGTATTAGTTAATAATCAAATTAACTTTTGCCGCTTTTGGTGACACAGGTGACAATCTTAAATCATTTTGCAACTTATTAACATCTATTGATGATAAACCTATAACATAATATTAGCAACTATTATTCAACAAATCAACATATGTTAAACTGAAACGTAATGGACTCAAAACATGAAACCTGGCTCTATTTCTGTAAACATTTTGTCTGTGATGATTGCAAATTCTCTTAAAGATTCCGGAGACAAAGAGAAAGAAGAGACGAAGACAGGGGGCGTGGGGCAGATGGCAATACAGGTAACCATATAGTGGATTAATATTCTGTTCTTCGAATCTCATCCGACAGCTCTCACTCTACAGAAGCAGACAATTAGACCCAGATTGCATTTGACACTTAATAGCCCAATATAATTAACAGTTATATCTTACAGTTATTAATGAATGGACTAGTTATCTTTTTACTACAATACCAACAAACTCTTTTCTCTCAGTTCCAGGATATGATGAAAAGGGCCGAAAGTGAGTCTGGTTGTTCTCGTTCTTGCTGATGTAATATTCCCCGCGGGGGACACAGGATTGAGTGTTGTTCGTCCCGCCTTCCGTCCGTCACGTTTTGTTTCCGGACGAAAACGCAAAGATCATTCAATATTTCTGTACCAAACTTTTCACAGATATCACAGAAAAGTTTGAAGTATATATTTTATTCGGCTTTCATGAGCACAAATTGCACAGATATCAGTCAAGGCTTGAACTGGTGTCTTTTGCTATTCTGGAATGTTTTTAAGGGAAAATCTTTCAAATTCTAATTTAATGAAGGCTTCATTTCCATAGCAGAACTCATGAACCATTTGTACTTCCTCACTTATCAATCGAAAGGTCAACTGATTTTTAAGTTTGGGGAATTTTTCAACTGTGGTATTTTTTTCAAACAAATGGAAACCCCATGCAATGTATCCAATAATAGGCACTGCTCCCTGTGGTGTTCTCGTAGTAACACCACCCTATTAAGATGGCTAAAGGTATCAGTCAGCTAGCAGCGTATCATTGAGTTTTGGACTCAGGGGCATTGACTGTATAGAACAGGTCCAAGTGCACGCATTTCTTAATGGGGCATAATGGATATAAACATATTCGCCTTATGTTTCCAAAACTGAATATGAAACGTTGATGATATAACGAAAAGTACAAAAATGAAATGCTTACAACAAGAGTACTTTAGCGACAACGTTTTAATTTCAACGTGTGTTTTTTATATCGGTCCAATTTATCCAGAGCAAGTCATAGCCTGTTTGCCAGGTTATTCAAATTAAGAAATGTTCTTAGTCTGTTTAAAGCATCGTGATCATCTTTCAACTTAGTTCATGAAGACATCGATGCAAAACATGACACTATGTTATATATTTATGTTTATGTGTATACAATAACTGTCATATGTTTGATAACAACAAAGTATTCATTTTCCTCAGATATGGATAAGTCTCATAGCAGTCAAGTTGAAGAGCCATCTATATCAAAGGTAGGATCAGTGTCAGATTTTGGTCAATTGATAGCAGTAAATTCCCTGAAAAGTCGATGTTGTTGAATGGACAACTTGCAGACTTGTAAATCACATATCATTCCAGGGGACGTTGAGTGATGACTACACTGCAAGTCAAGAACGGGACATGAGAGCTTCAGAGACACAAATATGTAAGTGTGCAGCTTGACATGTGAAGACAGTGTTCCTGGCTTGGAAGACATCAATGATCTAATATCCGCAGTGACATGCCATATAACACTAAGCCTGAACTAAAAGTGTGCAGCTTGACATGTATAGACAACGTTCCTGGCTTGAAAGAGATCAATGATCTAATATCCGCAGTGACATGGTATATAACACTAAGCCTGAACTAAAAGTGTGCAGCTTGACATGTATAGACAGCGTTCTGGGCTTGAAAGACATCAATGATCTAATATCCGCAGTGACATGCCATATAACACTAAGCCTGAACTAAAAGTGTGCAGCTTGACATGTATAGACAACGTTCCTGGCTTGAAAGACATACAATGATCTAATATCCGCAGTGACATGGTATATAACACTAAGCCTGAACTAAAAGTGTGCAGCTTGACATGTATAGACAGCGTTCTGGGCTTGAAAGACATCAATGATCTAATATCCGCAGTGACATGGTATATAACACTAAGCCTGAACTAAAAGTGTGCAGCTTGACATGTATAGACAACGTTCCTGGCTTGAAAGACATCAATGATCTAATATCCGCAGTGACATGCCATATAACACTAAGCCCGAACTAAAAGTGTTGAGAATCAATGAATGTACCAGGGGGTAAACAGCATATTACATAGCATTAATTACAATATCTGTTCCTGTTTCGACCCGAAAATGTATTGTGACTGTAGTAAGTCAGTTTTCCATAATGGTAACGTGGGCTTTACACAAGGTATTGGGAGGGGAAATTCCCTGAGGTATCTAAGCCCAACAAACTGTGACATCAGGTGTCAAACGGTTTGACCTAGTGCAGTCACACGTCCTATTGTCCCTCCCCATTGTCAGTGGATGTGTTTGTGTTATGAACGTATAGAATGTGTGTGGTTGTGTCCTTGGAATCTTAGCCACACAAATGTAGCAGACATCAGTATCAATGTAGCAGACATCAGTATCAGCGCCTCTCACTCTGACCCTGTTTATATGTGGACTTCTCCTTCAGGTATTGCAGAGATCAGTATCAATGTAGCAGACATCAGTATCAATGTAGCAGACATCAGTATCAATGTAGCAGACATCAGTATCAATGTAGCAGACATCAGTATCAATGTAGCAGAGATCAGTATCAATGTAGCAGACATCAGTATCAATGTAGCAGACATCAGTATCAATGTAGCAGACATCAGTATCAGCGCCTCTCACTCTGACCCTGTTTATATGTGGACTTCTCCTTCAGGTATTGCAGAGATCGCCGAACAAGAGAAGAGGTTGCTGACCTTAGAGGAGGTACAATTTTCTATACCACATCTGATAAATTCAAAGTGCACCCGTATCAAGTTCCAATGGTTCATAAACAATATCTATATATTTGTCACATTATTTTTTACATAATCTAATTGTATAACCAACGACTAAAGAAAGACAGTTTGATAAAGAACAATATGTCACTATCGACGTTTATGAATATGAATGGTTTGAATGATTTTTCCGTGTATTTTAAGGAACATGACCTCCAAAAACGACACCTTGATTTGCTGTACTGTGGTACGTATTACAATATTGCACGGGTTATACTTCTCTGTAACATGTTGCCACAGACGGCTGGAATCTGTGGATAAACATAACTACACCTGACAGATATGCACACAGATATAATATTGACTCATATCACACAATCAGGAGTCTCTCGTATCATATGATCCTTTGTGATTCGTGAGACATATTTCATAGTGGCTCGCACCACATGATTCATAGTGGCTCGCATTACATGATTCATAGTGGCTCGCATCACATGGTTCATAGTGGCTCGCATTGCATGGTTCATAGTGGCTCGCATTACATGGTCCATAATGGCTCGCATTACATGATTCATAGAGACTCGCATTACATGAATCATAGTGGCTCGCATCAGATGATTCATAGTGGCTCGCATTACATGATCAATACTCGTGGTGTTTCTGATGCTTTTTTGCCATCGCACATCACTTTGACAACTTGCATTGTACAAACCCCCTTGCATTGTACAGACAAATAGAACTGAAATGGCACATGCAGGCCACGAACATTTCCGCCTAAACCTAAACCACAATTATCAAGAACATGTCATGTGACTTATCTTGTACCTACAGACCTTCCTCATGAGTGGTTCATCAAAGTGCACTACCTACAGAGACACCAGGATGTCTTGTCCCTGTACGACGTGGAGCTGCCGGAAGTCATCAGTGTGAGTCGGCGTTCATATTTGTTCATCAAGATCAGAGAGGCACTCCTCTCCTCTGCCAATGAGCCCAATCAACAAATCTTTCTTCTAAATAAAGCAACAAAACACTAAAATCATAAGAAATCTGTCCAAAAAGCTGTGTCTGTCTCATAAGCATGAGTTAATGAATCACTATCAATTAGTGATGATACATACAAGGTGTTCGAAATTGTTGAGCACAGGTATAACCTGATGAACCCACTGCTGACAGTGAACCTGTAACACGTGTGTATTGTGTATGTGTTTCATACACAAGAAGGCGCTCAGCATTTTCAAGTTACATATAGAACTCACCACTCTGATTCATATGAATATGTTTTTAAAGTAATGTGTATAAGGTGAAAATGTAAATATGGCTTACAATAGCTATAATGGCATAATATCACACAGTAAACGAATTTAAGGCACACAAAACATCACACAATTCTGATAACTTCAATATCTCGCACAATAGTGCCTATGTGTACATACATTCTCACACTGAACTGATTGTTGACATTGCGAGCGATTCTCATTAATAAGTATGTGCATATATTTATATCTTTATCTGAAATAATTGCAGGAGATGGTCAGACCCGGACCTTCCCACATCCAGACATCCAAGTTGGAGATTTCTCCAGGTAAAACTCATCATACTCAATGTTCATCCTACCCGTGAGTGAATTTTAACACTACTTCGAGCAGTATTTCAGTTATATCAGGTTGTGTCAGCCTGATGTGGGAGGAGGTGAGGCAGATGTAAGCACATTTACCACTTTGGCGGAACCAACAAGAACGAGCCAAGAATAATTTTTCATTATCATTTAGATGACTGGTCCGCTCGGTGCGATTATCCATCAAACAAGACATTCAGGCCTGTTGTCAAAATCTGAAAACAACTGCATCGAGTGTTCCAGGTCGCGGAGACAGGTGTCAGTAATGTGTGTTTGTGTGTGACCACTTTGATCTGATTGATCGCCGCCTCCATGCCTTCCAATAGCATCTGAATTTTAGCTAAATGAGGAACTGTCCGATCATGACAGTCCAAGAACCTGTATATATCGGGGAACTGCATGATGTGATGTAAAGGCAGCACTAAGCAGGACCTGTATATATCAGGAAACAGCTGGATGTGTTGTAATGGCAACACTAAGCAGGACCTATATATATCGGGAAACTGCAGGATGTGCTGTAATGTGAACACAAAGCAGGACCTGTATATATCAGGAAACAGCTGGATGTGGCGTAATGGCAACACTGAGCAGGACCTGTATATATCAGGGAACTGCAGGATGTGGTGTAATGGCAACACTAAGCAGGACCTATATATATCGGGAAACTGCAGGATGTGGTGTAATGACAACACAAAGCAGGACCTGTATATATCGGGAAACTGCAGGATGTGCTGTAATGGCAACACTAAGCAGGGCCTCTATATATCAGGAAACTGCAGGATGTGGTGTAATGTTAACACCTAGCGGGACCTGTCTGTATCGGGGAACTGCAGGATGTGGTGTAATGGCAACACTAAGCAGGACCTGTATATATCGGGGAAACTGAAGGATGTGGTGTAATGACAACACAAAGCAGGACCTGTATATATCGGGGAAACTGCAGGATGTGGTGTAATGGCAACACCAAGCAGGACCTGTATATATCAGGAAACAGCTGGATGTGGTGTAAATGACAACACTAAGCAGGACCTGTATATATCGGGAAACTGCAGGATGTGCTGTAATGGCAACACTAAGCAGGGCCTCTATATATCATGAAACTGCAGGATGTGGTGTAATGTTAACACATAGCAGGACCTGTATATATCGGGAAACAGCTGGATGTGGTGTAAATGACAACACTAAGCAGGACCTGTATATATCGGGAAACTGCAGGATGTGCTGTTATGGCAACACTAAGCAGGGCCTCTATATATCATGAAACTGCAGGATGTGGTGTAAATGTTAACACCTAGCAGGACCTGTATATATCGGGGAACTGTCGGATGTGGTGTAATGTCAACACCAAGCAGGACCTCTATATATCAGGAAACAGCAGGATGTGGTGTAAATGTTAACACCTAGCAGGACCTGTATATATCGGGGAACTGCCGGATGTGGTGTTATGGCAACACCAAGCAGGACCTGTATATATCGGGGAACTGTCGGATGTGGTGTAATGGCAACACCAAGCAGGACCTGTATATATCGGGGAACTGCCGGATGTGGTGTTATGGCAACACTAAGCAGGACCTGTATATATTATGAAACTACAGGATGTGGCGTTATGGCAACACTAAGCAGGGCCTCTATATATCAGGAACTGCCGGATGTGGTGTAATGTCAACACCAAGCAGGACCTGTATATATCGGGGAACTACAGGATGTGGTGTAATGGCAACACTAAGCAGGACCTGTCTATATCCAGGAACTGCAGGATATGGTGTAATGGACGTCCCAAACATGTACTCATGGACTCGGGTCAGGTGATCAAGCTGGCCACACAATACGGTCGATTCTGTCATCATTCAAGTACTGGTCCATAATGCTGACATGATGAGGATTTCCGTAGTCACCAATGATAATGAATGTACATATCGCAAATGTCATTCTTTGAAGGGAACAGCTGACCCACTTAGCAACGTTAGCCTCCTGATACCATTGCGCAACACCCGACCACGAGGTTCTGTGAAGTTGGTTGGTTGGTTGTTTTTTTAAGGCGCACTCAGCAATATTCCAGTCGCCTTTTACAGCAAGCATGGGCTGCTGAAGACCTATTCTACCCCGGATCTTCACGGGTCGGTTCTGTGAACTCAACTAGAGAAGAAAAAAGGGGACCAGTTATCTTAACACCAGGCAAAACGGGCCCGTGTATGCCAATCAATGGTATGGGATACTTGATCTGGAGGAACGAAGATCTCCTTGAAAACACATTGCTTGTCTTGACATGTTTACTAGTGTGGCTTACGGGACTGTTTGCCGGCATGAACGGATGTCTTCAGCAGCCCGTCCTCCCGCTGCGTTGAGGACTGCATTGGTTGGAAACGAGTCCATGCTCTGCAGCACGTACAGCATTAAGTTGTGATATCACACTGTCAAGCATACTAATATAGCAAGCATTGTTGATGTAGAATATTCGTATACACAGTGCGTGAAAGCCAAAATTAATGCGTGATGGGTTATCAAAACATGGTCAAGTTAAAGTTTGATAATCATGTTGTTGACCAATATATGTGTTGTCCTTAGCAAACTTTGAGTGCCACATCCCAATGATAATAATTGCCATACAATGTATTTGTATAAGGATTATATATATGTGATTCAGCTTCTTCTTTCTACCAACAATGCCATTCTATATTTTATCAGAAGATGAAAGCCACAAGAGGCCTGTGAAGAGAAGTCAAATTGCCAAACTGAGGCGGTTTCAACAAGGGCTGCTGAAGGAGAGTGACCTGTTTGACATCATAGGAAACGTAAGAAGACATTATCTTATATCTATTTATATCCAGTGGGGCCCATTTCTGATCTTTTGCCTTGGGTTAAGTAATTCAGCAATGCAGTGTGGCTCATCCCTTAGGATTACTCCATGTCTTTCTTCAGGGGTTAAGTAATACAGCAATGTAGTGTGGGTCACCCCTTAGGATTACTCCATGTCTTTCTTCAGGGGTTAAGTAATACAGCAATGCAGTGTACCTCAGCCCTTAGAATAACTCCATGTCTTTCTTCAGGGGTTAAGTACTACAGAAATGTGGTATGGTTCACCCCTTTGGATTACTCCATGTCTTATTTCAGGGTTTTTAGGAATACAGCAATGCAGCGTGGGTTATCCCTTAGGATTACTCCATGTCTTTCTTCAGGGGTTAAGTAATACGGCAATGCAGTGTGGCTCACCCCTTAGGATTACTCCATGTCTTACTTCAGGGGTTAAGTAATACAGCAATGCAGTGTGGTTCATTCCTTAGGATTACTCCATGTCTTTCTTGAGGGGTTAAGTAATACATCAATGCAGCGTGGGTTATCCCTTAGGATTACTCCATGTTGTACGCCAGGGTTTAAGGAATACAGCAATGCAGCGTGTTTATCCCTTAAGATTACTCCATGTCTTTCTTCAGGGGTTAAGTAATACGGCAATGCAGTGTGGTTCACCCATTAGGATTACTCCATGTCTTACTTCAGGGTTTAAGTAATACAGCAATGCAGTGTGGTTCACCCCTTGGTATTTCTCCATGTCTTTCGTCAGGCGTTAATTACTACAGCAATGCAGTGTGGTTCACCCCTTAGGATTACTCCATGTCTTTCGTCAGGGGCTAAGTAATACAGCAATGCAGTGTGGTTCACCCCTTAGGATTACTCCATGTCTTACTTCAGGGGTTAAGTAATACAGCAATGCAATGTGGTTCACCCATTAGGATTACTCCATGTCTTATTTCAGGGTTTTAAGGAATACAGCAATGCAGCGTGGGTTATCCCTTAGGATTACTCCATGTCTTTCTTCAGGGGTTAAGTAATACAGCAATGCAGTGTGGCTCACCCCTTAGGATTACTCCATGTCTTACTTCAGGGGTTAAGTAATACAGCAATGCAGTGTGGTTCACCCCTTAGGATTACTCCATGTCTTACTTCAGGGGTTAAGTAATACAGCAATGCAGTGTGGTTCACCCCTTAGGATTACTCCATGTCTTACTTCAGGGGTAAAGTAATACAGCAATGCAGTGTGGCTCACCCCTTAGGATTACTCCATGTCTTACTTCAGGGGTTAAGTAATACAGCAATGCAGCGTGGGTTATCCCTTAGGATTACTCCCTGTCTTTCTTCAGGGGTTAAGTAATACAGCAATGCAGTGTGGTTCACTCCTTAAGATTACTCCATGTCTTTCTTGAGGGGTTAAGTAATACATCAATGCAGCGTGGGTTATCCCTTAGGATTACTCCATGTTGTACGCCAGGGTTTAAGGAATACAGCAATGCAGCGTGGGTTATCCCTTAGGATTACTCCATGTCTTTCGTCAGGGGTTAAGTAACACATCAATGCAGCGTGGGTTATCCCTTAGGATTACTCAATGTCTTTCTTCAGGGGTTAATTACTACAGCAATGCAGTGTGGTTCACCCCTTAGGATTACTCCATGTCTTTCGTCAGGCGTTAATTACTACAGCAATGCAGTGTGGTTCACCCCTTAGGATTACTCCATGTCTTACTTCAGGGGTTAAGTAATACAGCAATGCAGCGTGGGTTATCCCTTAGGATTACTCCGTGTCTTTCGTCAGGGGTTAAGTAATACAGCAGTGCAATGTGGTTCACACCTTAGGATTACTCCATGTCTTACTTCAGGGGTTAAGTAATACAGCAATGCAGCGTGGGTTATCCCTTAGGATTACTCAATGTCTTTCTTCAGGGGTTAAGTAATACAGCAATGCAGTGTGGTTCACCCCTTAGGATTACTCCATGTCTTACTTCAGGGGTTAGGTATTACAGCAATGCAGTGTGGTTCACCCATTAGGATTACTCCATGTCTTATTTCAGGGTTTTTAGGAATACAGCAATGCAGTGTGGTTCACCCCTTAGGATTACTCCATGTCTTACTTCAGGGTTTAAGGAATACAGCAATGCAGCGTGGGTTATCCCTTAGGATTACTCCATGTCTTACTTCAGGGGTTAAGTACTACAGCAATGCAGTGTCGTTAACCCATTAGGATTACTCCATGTCTTTCTTGAGGGGTTAAGTAATACAGCAATGCAATGTTGTTCGCCCCTTAGGACTCCATGTCTTACTTCTGGGGTTAAGTAATACAGCAATGCAGTGTGGTTCACTCCTTATGATTACTCCATGTCTTTCGTCAGGGGTTAAGTAATACATCAATGCAGTGTGATGTATGCTGTTCTCTCTGTATGCGATGTGGTTTGTATTTGGCTGTTTGATTATATCCTCTATCTTCAACTATCTATCATCTGCCTGTGTAAGTTGTCTTGTATTCACTATCTATATTCTCCTGTGTGATATGTGTTGTATTCACTATTTATCTTCTGCCTGTATGAGTTGTGTCGTATTCATTATTTATCTTCTGCCTGTGTGAGATGTGTTGAATTCACTATCTATATTCTGTCTGTGTGAGATGTGTTGTATTCACTATTTATCTTCTGCCTGTGTGAGATGTGTTGTATTCACTATCTATATTCTGTCTGTGTGAGATGTGTTGTATTCACTATTTATCTTCTGCCTGTGTGAGTTGTGTTGTATTCACTATCTATATTCTGCCTGTGTGAGATGTGTTGTATTCACTATCTATATTCTGCCTGCGTGAGATGTGTTGTATTCACTATTTATCTTCTACCTGTGTGAGGTGTGTTGTATTCACTATCTATATTCTGTCTGTGTGAGATGTGCTGTGATCTATATCTATATTCTTCCTGTGTGAGAGGTGTTTAGTTCACTATCTATATTCTTTCTGTGTGAGATGTGTTGTTTTCACTATTTATATTCTGTCTGTGTGAGATGTGTTGTATTCACTATCTATATTCTGCCTGTGTGAGACGTGCTGTATTCTCTATCTATATTCTTCCTGTGTGAGAGGTGTTTAGTTCACTATCTATATTCTGCCTATTTGAGATGTGTTGTATTCACTATCAATATTCTGCCTGTGTGAGATGTGTTGTATTCACTATCAATATTCTTCCTGTGTGAGATGTGTTGCATTCACTATCTATATTCTGCCGGTATGAGATATGTTGTATTCACTATCTATATTCTGCCTGTGTGAGATGTGTTGTTATCACTATTGACATACTGCCTGCGTGAGATATGTTGTATTCACTATATATATTCTGCCGGTATGAGATATGTTGTATTCACTATCTTTATTCTCCCTGTGTTAAACATGTTGTGTTCACTATCTATATTCTCCCTGTGTGAGATGTGTTCACTATCTATATTCTCCCTGTATGAGACGTGTTGTGTTCACTATCTTTATTCTGCCCGTGTGAGATGTGTAATGTTCACCGTCATTGATTTGCGGGTTTGAGTGAGGGACGAGTTGTAATGACTATCTGTTCCTACCCATGCCTTGTGTGTCTTCACTCTGCCTGTGAGAGAAGTGTTTAGTGTGACGTGTTATCTTCAACCTGTGTCATGTGTGTCTTCACTCTGCCTGTGAGAGAAGTGTTTAGTGTGACATGTGTTATCTTCAACCTGTGTCATGTGTGTCTTCACTCTGCCTGTGTGGGAAGTGTTTAGTGTGACATGTGTTATCTTCAACCTGTGTCATGTGTGTCTTCGCTCTGCCTGTGTGGGAAGTGTTTAGTGTGACATGTGTTATCTTCAACCTGTGTCATGTGTGTCTTCACTCTGCCTGTGTGGGAAGTGTTTAGTGTGACATGTGTTATCTTCAACCTGTGTCATGTGTTTTCACTCTGCCTGTGAGAGAAGTGTTTGGTGTGACATGTGTTATCTTCAACCTGTGTCATGTGTGTCTTCACTCTGCCTGTGAGAGAAGTGTTTAGTGTGACATGTGTTATCTTCAACCTGTGTCATGTGTGTCTTCACTCTGCCTGTGTGGGAAGTGTTTAGTGGGACATGTGTTATCTTCAACCTGTGTCATGTGTGTCTTCACTCTGCCTGTGTGGTAGTGTGTAGTGTTTTCTTTTTAGTGTTTCCTGGGTGAAATGTGTATCGGACTCACTGTTTTCAAACTTTCTGTGTGTTATTGCCACTCCCTGCACATTTATATACTCCTATATATAACTCACATATGTTATAATAAGCCTATGATGATGTGTTTGGTGCTGACAAATCAATGGATCGTGCCTGGCAAAGAGTAACCGAACTGGTTTTATATTCGACCTTTGGGAAACCCATGCTTCAGTGGAGAACATGGTCTTGTTATAAAACAATTCAGGTCAACGAGTATGTCAAGATTAGTTAGCCAAAGAACATCAAATTCAGGATACTCCTGTAGAAATATTGAAATTTCCTCAGATTATGTAGGATAGATGGTAGCATTTACGTGGTTAATAGCTCCTTACCGATATGTAGTTCGCTTGGGACAGCACGTTTCAGATCTTGCCCCACGTGCGGGCACGTGCGTTTGTCGGCTGCATGCCGATTTAGTGTTTACAGTCGTGGGTCGTATGGTAAGAGCGCTCCGATTGGTTGGTGACAGACTGGATTAGCCAGTGGCTGCACCGTTTAGACGTGTTGACCCAGAGGTTACGTGTCCTTGCGAGTATATAAGAGATAGGCGCGAATGCTCTCATTGTCTTGCATGATCGGGAAGATCATTACAGGTGAGGGAGACCACACCAAATTACCGTGTTCGGAGGACGAACAATTCTCCAATCCCTAGTGATTTTAGGCAATAAAGATCTAAATTCTGTGGCAACTTAGAATTATTGGGTAAATTGTTAGAAAGCTGGGTTGGACGGGTGGATTTAAGCAGGAAATAATGTCAGCTATGTGATGTAGCTACATAGACCAATTGT